TCTCTCTGTAATAATTTTGAACCGAATATTTATGTATCATTTAAGGCACCAACTGTGCCTCTTTAAAAATTTAATCTATCTATAAAAAAAACATCAACGAGTTATGGTCGATAAACAGCTGCAATAAACCGGAAATTGTCTTTCACCATAGATTACCAGAATGTGCCGTAATTGAATTTCAGAAAGTTGTATTAGAATATTACATAATTTTGTAGATCTGACAACCCGTACAGACCTATTTAAACAGGCTCTTGGTCACAAAAGTCCCTGAGAAGCTGTTGGGTAACCATGACTCTATGAAACTTTTTTGCTCTTTAATCATCATTCTGGACATTCAATGGGTAGACACCTTGTTCATGTGGAAATGTTCATGGATCATTGGGGTATTGAATACAGCATCAACTTTTTCTTGGGTGGTCACTTCACGAGAGAGAATTCATGTTTGGCATGTCAGGCACACGCTGGGATATTTTTTCTAGCAGCATGAGTAGATTGGTAGGTCCGGAACGTTTGGAACACCCCTCGTAGCTAATCAGAGACTGGGGGAACTTTCATTCCAACATTACGCTGTTTCTCGAAGGGTGTGTGTGAGTGAGAGGGGAGAGAGAGAGAGAGAGAGAGAGAGAGAGAGAGAGAGAGATGGGGTTTAACGTCCACTCGACACATTTCGGGACTAACATATGGTTCAATTTTATTTCAATAATTCGCTTGCGCTTCGGGGTCTTTCATCAGTGGGAGGAAACCCGAGGACCCGGAGAGGTCGGACAGGCGACCCTACTCCTTCTCACACACAACCGGGGAATAGAAACCACGCCAGTTGACTCAATGACAGACCTTCTGATCTAACGCGCATGCGCTAACCACTCGGACATCCAATCCCCCACAATAGACTTGGGAAGGAGCAAGATCATTAAGACCAACATAACGCTGTCTCTGGAAGTCACAAACCGAAATGAAATCAAATGAAATGATGTTTAACGTCCTACTGTTCTGTTCCGACTGGGCTAATGAAGACGGGCATACGCCATACAGTGTGCTCGGCATACGCCATACCGTGTGCTATGAGGGAAATTTTGCCCGGGCGGCGGCACTATGGCCTGCTCTTATATCGAATTCCAACTGCTAAAGGATCTTTTACGTGCACGCCAATGTTTACACAGGACATCGGTTTTTCGTCTCATCCGAACGACTAGATAGCTCTCACTGTCAGGCCTTCCGTCCTGCACCACTGACAAGGGGAAACCACGTCGGAAAATCCCAATGAACTTTCTCGGCCAAAGTAGTGATGGAACACGCGACAGTAACTAAACAAACATACCATTACATATATAAATAATATACCAACACATAACTTATTGAAGTGGAAATCATGTAACTATGTTTTCTGTTTTTGTTTTGGAACTCACGCCCTAGTCACCAACCCTCCAGTCTAAACACATTGATTAAACATATAATAAATAATAGATAAGTGATTATGTCACAGCTTGAGGTGAAGTATTCAATCTCACGTATCTCGTTCTAACCGAAGTTTATTATCAGTTGAAATCACCTAATCATAAAGTCGTCTTCGTCTCTAATATTTTGTAACGGGCGAAATATGCCAGGGGCGGATCCAGGGGGGAGCGGTGGAAGGGGGGAGGGGGTGCATGGGTGGCAGCTACATAAAAAAAATGTAAAACAACACTTTTTATAAGAAAAGTGTAACGGTGGTGTGCTTTATCCTTTATCAGATGGTGGGATGAGATGGGCATTCAAGGCGCGAGATAATGATACAGACATGTGTGATATCACAATGAATGCTTCGCATCAATGAAATTGAATCACAATGTGATCGTACTAATTCATAATAAACATTGACGTAAAAAGGGGTGTTGGATATCTCTCATTAAAAAGTTCAGTGTGTATGTATGCCTACGTAATCTGGAGACGAGAATAGCATCGTGCATTGTCAACTGTCAAATTTCCTTAACAAGATTCAGTGTCTCAGGAACCCGGCAAACCCTCTCGGGCTAAAATTCCCGGATCCGGCCCTCAATACGATGTCTTTCTTTTCAAGCATTTCAAGAATTCTATTTTATAGTCACACCCGGCCCCGTCCCTCAGTCCGTCATCACTCTAGCTACTTGTCAAAGTTTTTGAGATTTTGATTTTGCTGGAATTATTCGAAAACATCACATTCTATCCAGATTCAGGGCCATTCGTAAACTATTTGCAGAGTTGCTGCCCATGACAGCGAAACTTTATAATTTTTTTACTGGTCATATTGTATTTGAGTCCTGTTGACTGAGATATATGGAAATTCAGTCATTGCAACTACTCGACAGATGGAACTCAAGATGTCGGGAATACCGTTGATTTGTTTCTATGGTCACGTGTGCTGGGGGCGGGGCTTGTAAGGACGGCCTATTTTTCATCAATTTCAACTGTACGACAATGTGTACAGAGGTGGATAGCGAGTTTACGTTCCATTCGAACGACTAGAAACATTAACATGTCAGTGGGGGTCGGGGTTGTAAATCAAAAGGTTCTTTTGGGTGAATTGACAACCAAGGCCTCCCTAGTTGTGAAATTAAATGAAACCGAATTTAACTTCCTACTCTTCTGCTCTGACTGGGCTAATGAAGACGGGCATCAGGGAAATTGTGCCCGAGAAGCGGCACTGTGGCCTACTCTTATATCGAATTCCAACTGCCAAGGGATATTTTACGCGCACGCGCATGTATACACGGGACCTCGGTTTTTCGTCCCATCCGAACGACTAGACAGCTCTCCTTTTTCGGCCCCCCGTTCTGCATCACTGACAAGGGGAAACCACGTCGGAAAATCCCGATGGACTTTCTCGGTCAATGCAGAGATCGAACACGTGACCTCCAGATAAGCGAGCCAGCGTCTTACCCACTTAACCACCGTGTCTCCACTCCATATTTGTTTAACACATCGTAGTAGGTACGACCTAGGCTAAATCTATTTGTTAAGGCCAGCTCAGTTTTTTTTATCAAGGTTGCCGAGATGTAAATAAGGTTAGGGCACGTGATTGTTGGCGAAATTGTGCGTTAGGTTTAAGAATTTGGGGGAGAGGTTAAGAACCACATAAGCACTGACCTAGGATGATATGACCTATGACGAAACATTGAGCTGGCCTTATCATTTAGCACTAACCTTAGGCCCTATTCAATGGCATACTGGTTTTGGTCAGAATCTAGTTCAACAACTTATCTTCAATGAATATTACACGAGACCCCTGCAGAGTCGATCCGCTTACTTGAATTTCAACAATGATCAATATTTGAAACGTAAACAGAAAATTAATGTTCACGACACACCCTACCTAAACCTACACATTCCTAATGTTGATGTGCCCGCACTGCCCGCCCTATTGATTCACTTTTAATATTCCTAATATTGAAATGCCCTATTAATTCACTTTAAACTTTTGAAATAATAATGAAGATATCTTTGATCAAAGGCCTTGTTAGTTTACTCATTGGAACGTATAATATCTTATATGGATCAATATCCAGTTAATGAGCATGGAAGCCCGGTGCGGTAAACAATGAAATCAAATGGGGTTTTAACGTCCTACTGTTCTGCTCCGGCTGGGCTAATGAAGACGGGCATACGACATACAGTGTGCTATGAGGGAAATCGTGCCCACTCTTATATCGAATTCCAACTGCCAAGGGATCTTTTACGTGCACGCCAATGTATACACGGGTCCTCGGTTTTTCGTCCCATCCGAACGACTAGACAGCTGTTTTTGTCACTGACAAGGGGAAACCACGTAGGAATATCCCGATGAACTTCCTCGGTCAATGAAGGGATCAAACCCGCAACCTTCAGGCTTGCGAGCCAGCGTCTTACCCACTTAGCCACCGTGGTTCCAATGAACGATTAATGGGGTGGGTCCGGAAAACTAGGCGAACAAAATATAAAAGTTTCGGTTTCGCCTCCGTGACATTTCATAGAAAATCATTGAAAAAAAATTAACCGAAATATCATTCCTTTGTATTTAGGCAATCGAATAAAGATTGTCGGGGATAATTGAAGGTAAGGTGTCGGTGATCAAACGGGAAAAACCTGTGAAAGTTTGGCTGACAACAGCTAGCTCGGGTAGCCATTAATTAGTGATTAAGCGAGAGAGAGAGAGAGAGAGAGAGAGAGAGAGAGTTTAACGGCCACTCGACACAAACTAGGTCATTTCAGAACTACATATGGTTCAATTTTATTTCAATAATTCGCTTGCGCGTAGGGGTCCCGGAGAAAACCCACGAGGTTGGACAGGCGACCCTACGGTTATGTAAACTACCAATCAATTTCACTGGATGATCTACTACCGTATACCCCTTTTCCCAAATATATCATAAATATCCCCATTCGTTTCAATTGTTCTGTTTTTAAAAGGTTCTTACTTATCATACAACAAGAAAGGCTGTACATTTTGATCTGGTTAAAATAAATCCATTGGTTCATTTTATAGTACTGACTGAAGCCAAGCTGCTGTTCTTATTTCCTAAATAAATAGTCCCTTGAATCTGCATGTCAATAGGGGACTAGTTTGAGATGATAATCATTATGGGAAATTCCACCGAAGATTTCATTTCTTCTGGAAGCCAGTCTACTCTACTCTTCCCTTACATTAGTTCTTTTAACATCGGTAACTAGGCTTGTCCCTGACATAGCCTTCAGTAATTAATGTATTTTACTCTAAAACAGTGATTCTCAACCAGTGTGCACCGGCACTCATGTGTGCCGCGAGATCTTCCTAACTGTGTCCACTGATAGTTTGAGTCATTCTATGTTTCTATGACTAGTCTATGTCTACAACTGTATGGCGCCCGACTTGCCATTTTTTTTTGTGCAAAATTCATATATTTTTCATATATATTTAGCCAGGTGTGCCCCTATTTTTTCATGTGTTCCAAGGTGTGCCGTTGGCAAAGAAAGGTTGAGAACCACTGTTCTAAAAGTTACTGCTTAAGAAATAAGAAATCGGATTATATATTTTAAATCTTTTAATATGTTTTATATAACAATAATGAATACAACCTGATTCAAATACAGATCTATATTTCGTTTCGTTTTTTAAAACTTTCGATGGCCTCTACTACATGAAGATCTGACTGGTTATAGTTGAAGGTCGCGTCTGGGATCATACGAGCAGCTTTTGACCCTATGACGTCAGACATTAAATAATCAATCAGTGTCGACGTTTTTAGTTCCGTGCAGAGCAAGCCAAAAAGTCGCCGTGACAGGTGGTTTCATTGGCTAATCCCTCACTACAGCCAAAACGCGGGTTATATAACAACTCTTTCAGATCCTCCTTGTCTTGTGAAAACAAGTAAAACGAAATTTTGAACTATAAAAAACGAAACGAAATATGATCTGTGTTGTAATCAGACTGATAATGAATAATGATTATGTAAATAATAATATTAATAAAATATTGCATCAATATATTATTGTATGTGACCTATAGTAAACTATATGTCCATTGCTGTAGGTTGAACAATTGTGGGTTTTACAACAGCCATGGCACCCGTTTGATGACGACTATAATGTGGACTAGTGGTTTGATAACGATCAAACGTAGCACTATTTTTGGCCTTAGACGCTTTCCGTAACTGATCGGAATAATTGTCTTCCGGATCGCTTAACCCGTAATTATTCTCTGGCCTAGGGATGTGATAAGATACAGGTGTTGCCTTGAAGACACCATACTGTTCAGATTGCGGGTGGTTGTTCTTCTGCTGCACTGGTTGCTGGTGATGATGCTTGGAAGATTGTTGATGATACTGATTTGCGGATTGATGTGGCTGATGTCCATGGTGATGTTGATCGTGATGATTTGACTGTTGTTGATGTGGACTCGTTTGGTTATAATTAAACTGATTTCCCGGTGATAATGATTGTGGATTCGTTCGGCGTGGTTTTGGAACTGGATGAACTTGTGGTTTCTGGTCAGCGTCATGGTAATCCAGTTGTCTCGCTGGGTTGTAATCTTGATGTCGTGGTTGACTAGAATCCCGATGCCGCGGTTGACTTGATTCTCGAGATCGCGGGTTGTTGCGATCCTGGGATCTAGCTTTATGAGGTGATGTGTTGTAGGAGTCGCGTTCAGGAGACGTTGTTGGTTGATTTCGTCGATGAGTGAGGGGCGTGGATGTCATCGATGGTGGTTTATCTCCATCTATTTGAATCGGACTCTTCTCGAATCTATCAATTAAATTAGTAACCGAAGCTGAATTAGCTGATGGGCGATTTGATGATAATAGTCGTGGATCTGATGATGGTTGTGGTGGGCTGAGGAATTGGTTGGATGATCTCTCCAATATATTTTGAGTACTAGCACTTCTTCGAGCTGGATATTCACCAAAATGTTGCTGTGGACAACGACCAAAATCTGAGTTTGAACCGTGGCCATTTGCTAAACCATATGATTCTGGAGACAGGGAGCTTTGTTTGAGCGGATTAACAGAAGATGGTTGACCAGATTTAATATACATTTCGCTCTTTCTGGCTAGTTCATTTCTGTAAGCATCAGAGGAGTTGGATATCTGGGGTTTATGAGCTGCTACTACTGGTTCAGCCTGACCACGAATGCCCTGCATGCGTGGATCCATTTTGCCCTGATTTTCATAGTTAGGAATTAACTTAGCTTTGTAAACAGGCACCGACTCCGCTTTGTGAATCGTTGTTGGGTGTTGTGGTTTATCCATTTGGATGTCGATTGGTTTCGTCCTACCATAAGAATCGAGGATATTATGCCCACTGTTTTGAGCTAAGAGAGCTCGATCCTTTGATCGTAAGGGTTTTGGGGGAGTTTCTGGTGGGATTACTCTATGTTTTCTATTATTGTTCATATCATTAGGCGGTGAGGTATTTTTATTGTTCACGGGTTTCGGTACCGCGAATTGACGATCTTTGCTATAATCATATTTAGGAGGAGAACTATCTCGACTTTTAGTACTGCTCAGTGTTGAGGGGTTGGAGTTCTGTCCGTGGTAACCACTATCCCGAGAAATAGGAACCTCAAAATACAATCCTTGGTAATCTCCCTTGGCTCTGTCCACATAAATATTAGGACCGGTCACCATATTGACATTGATCTCATTTCCGGTTAAAATTGTCTGGTGCTGAGGTGGTGAATTACTCGTGTCGGTTCCCTTCTGCTGTCTCTCGATCTCATTTTTAATAGGCTCCTGTTGAGTATCGTTAGGTCTCTTAGAATTCGAAAATTTATTCACAACAGTGTTGCGAATTTTACCCAAGGTACCTGTACTTACAGGAGTCTGTGATTTCTGTGCTTGTGTGTTGGTGCCATCATCCGTGCGTTTTGACTGCTCGCGTTTCAGCCATGATTTCAAGGAGAACTGAGTGCTACTCTTCTTCTGGGCAGAAGAGTCTTGTGGTGCAGTGTTCGCAAGATTCTTTAGATCATCATTATCAGTATTATGTCCTCTTACTATTGTGTCATACGGCGATTCCTGATTCATGTAATTATGTCCATTGCCAGTGTACGGAGCTACAGCTTGTGTTGGGCTGTTGTGATTCAGGGCAAGGGGTTTATGGACATCCGGTGGTGTTGAAGTGAGAGGTTTAGGTGATGATGGACGATGTTCATGACCTCTAGAACTATGATGCTTGTCTTTTTTCCCGGTGGTCCGAGATGATGAATGAACCGGCATCTCCGTCTTTATCTCTTCTGCATATTTTCCCACGGATTCTATCCAGTTGTTAATATGCTTGAGTTGTTGGGCGCGGGAGATATGGCGGTCATGATCTTCTCCTAGATTAGTTAAACGTTTCTTTACTTCGTTACGGTATTTACCATGACTGTGTTGTGATGTTGATGACTGAAAATAAAACAAAAAGAATCTTTAAACCAATGAGAGAGAGAGAGAGAGAGAGAGAGAGAGAGAGAGAGAGAGAGAGAGGGGGAAGACAGTTAAACGCCCACGTCCGCTAAATACAAATTAGGTCATTTCGGGACTAACATATGGTTCAATTCTATTTCAATAATTCGCTTGCGTGTAGGGGTCTTTAGCAGTGAGAGGAAATCGGAGGACCCGGAGTAAACCCACGAGGTTTGACAGGCAACCCTACTCCTTGTCATGTACAATAATTAATAAGAGCTACCTTGTCTTTATATCTCCAAATAGAAATCTGGATAAATTAAAGAGAGAGAGAGAGAGAAATGGGGTTTAACGTCCACTCGACGCATACTAGGTCATTTCGGGACTAACATATGGTTTAATTTTATTTCAATAATTCGCTTGCGCATAGAGGTCTTTAGCTGTGGGAGGAAACCGGAGGACCCGGAGAAAACCCACGAGGTTGGACAGGCGACCCTACTCCTTGTCACGTACAACCGGGGATTCGAAACCACGCCAGTCGACTCAATGCAAGACTTTATGATACAGCGCGCGCACGCTAACCATTCAGCCATCCAACCCCCCTGGATAAATTAAAATAAACTTACCATTTGGTTTTTAGACAAAAATTCCATTTCAAATTTTGCTTTAGCTAAATTTCGGTGCGCCAATTTCCAGTAGAATTTTGTATCATGGAGAAACGATGCCCAAATTTGGAAGAATTCTTGAGGAGTACACTGTCTGTTATCATGTATAAAAAAGGTCGTTGTTCGGCGGAAGTATTTTTTAGTTTCTTCTAGAAGTCGGTCTTCTTCTGACAACACTTCTACAGCTGTAAGAAATTAATTAATAATTAATCTGTGGGTGTGGGGTGGGGTGGCATGGTGGATCAGTGGGTAAGATGTTGGCTCGCTAGCCTGGAGGTCGCGTGTTTGATCCCTGCATTGGCCGAGAAAGTTCATCATTGCACATAAACCAATGTCCTGTGTCTTTAAATAGTGTGGGGGGGGGGACACGGTGGCTAAGTGAGTGAGGCGCTAGCACGCTAACCTGGAGGTTAGTTAATCGGGTTTTCCGGCGTGTCAGGGGTCAGGACAGAAGGTCTGACAAGGGAAAGCGTCTAGTCATCCGGGTGGGACGAAAAACCGAGGTCCCGTGTATATATTGGCATAAACGTAAACGATCTCCTTGTGGTTGAAATTCGATATAAGAGTAGGCTGTAGTGCCGCTGCCCGAGCAAAATGTCCCTCATAGCATATTACTTGACGTATACATGTCTTCATTAGCCCAGTCGGAGCAGAACAAAGAACAGTGGGGCGTTAAACCCCATTTTATTTCATGTTCACCAAGTCCGGTAAAATTGATTGCAAGATAAAACCGAATATTTTAAATGTAATCTGGTGGAGTTTTAATCAAATAATATTAAACTGTTTTTAATATCAATTCTCTGCCTGTACAGTTTTTATCCTTTCCCTGTCTCACGGAGTATCATCAAATATTTTAAATTTAAAATATGTGTATTCCAAAGAACATCCAATGACAAACACATTACGATTACGTAAAGTTTTTCGGCGGGTCCTGTCGCATGGACTAACATCAAATATTTTAAATTAAATCTTGATTACAATAGTTTTAATCAAATAACCTTACACTGTAGAGAACACATAGATTGACTACAGTGGGTTGACTCCAGGAAGTAAGTTGTCTATTTATTAATGACTTACCACACGTGAGGTAGTTTTCACTAGTAACTCTAAGTTGATAAGTTATATTACTATTCTCTTTTCTAGCTAATGCTTCAATCTGAAATAGGTAAAGACATTTAGAATTTCTGGCTTAAAATTCTTGGGAAATTTCTAAAAGGGACGTTATTTCAAACAAAAATGATTTAATTTAGTTCAGTATTTGAACTGCGCCATTATTAGCCCTGTTTGTAATCCCACTGATTCAAGGCATAAAGATTGTCTACCGTTGATATTTTGGTTTCGTTTCCTTAATTAAAAGTTATATAAACCAGTTCAGTATAATAAACCCATAAAAGTCCAGAACCTATATAACAGAAATAAGTTTTGCTTAACAGAACTAACACAGTTATATGGGACAACAATCACTGATTTATTTTACACAAGCACAACGTTTCGATACCGATCCTCTTATCGTTATCAAGCACAATGACATTTAGTAAACTTGAGGTCAATATATATAAATGTACAATATAGATTGTTGCACACTTGGATATATTTACCTTCTAGCTTTAAGCTGACGTACACACTTAAATGCCTCATCCCCATTGCACAATATATATAGACCTTCAAGTTTACTAAATGTCATTGTGCTTGGTAACGATAAGAAGATAAGAGGATACTTATCGGAACGTTGTGCTTGAGTATAATAAACCAGTGATTGTTGTCACATATAACTGTGTTAATTTTGGTATGTCTCCAATCTCTAAATGCCACTAAAGGATTATGTTATTCTTACCTTATCTCTAACACCATGTAATTCTTGTCGTAAACTAGATAATGCACGTTGTATATCATCAAAAGATACCTAGATCATATTAAAAAACAACATAGATATAACATATTAATAGTTTAAATATTTACATACAATAAAGTTTTATATATTCATTTGAATTCATAGAAAAGACACAATGCGTGGTTCTTTTTTTTATTTTTAGTTAGCTCTTTCAGTTGAACTGAACGTTTCATTCCTGGTAGTTACTGGTAAAATGCCTACTACCGTCCAAAAGGAAAGACCCTAAACAACAGTCAAAAGACAAATGGGGGAGGGGAATTTCATGCTACAGGGAAAATAATGAAGGTATATGTTTTTAAAAAATAATATAATAATATGGCATTTTCAAAACACGGTTTTCCTACGATTGTATGGCTGCTGAATTGTCGGATGTTTTACCTACTAACTATATAATAAACTACTATGTTACCTGTTGATATGTCAGGTGTTTTACCTACTAACTATATAATAAACTACTATGTTAGCTATTGGTTTGTCAGGTGTTTTACCTACTAACTATATATTGAACTACTATATGTTACCTGTTGATTTGTCAGGTGTTTTACCTACTAACTATATATATATATATATATATATATCTTACCTGTGCAGCATGTCTCATATTAGAAGGTTCAGGTAATCTAAATTTAGTAGGACAACCAGATTCTACATCACTTTCATATATTTTACAATAAGATTTGACAATAAACTCATGTAGATTACCACGTCTTGTCTGAAATAATAATTATATAATATTAATATTTAAAAATAATAATTATATAATATTGTTTAAAACCAATAGGGTTTAACGTCCGCCGAAAGAATACGTGGGTCAGAATACAAAGAAATCAAATGAAATTATTTCCGGTCAGCGGCACTATGACCTACTCTTATATCGAATTCCAACTGCCTAAGGATATTTTACGTGCACGCCAATGTATATACGGGACCTAGGTGTTTTGTCTAATCCGATTGACTAGATAGCTGTCCTTGTCAGGCCCCCCGTCCTGCATAACTGACAAGGGGAAACCACGTCAGAAACCGGTCACAATACAGACGATAAAGTTACATTCCAATAGTTATAATGCAAGGGAGATAATTTCTTCGCATTTCAACTGACAATCTGAACCTCGTTTGCTATCCCTTACGAAGAGCTAGGTACACTTTACTTGTTAGTCTCTGACAAATGAGAACCGAATTTATCCCGGCTTTTTTTCGATGAGATTTGATTCAGGACATGAGGGGAATCAAAACCACGCCAACTAACTCAATGATAGACCTTATGATAGAGCGTGCACGCGCTAACCATTCGGCCATCCAACCCATCTTTGCCTATAGGACTATACATAACCTGCACTGTATACGACAACCGTTACAACAGGTTCATGCAATTAGAAAAGAACTTAATATAATATAAGTTGACTCACCTTATCACTGACATCTTTCAGTTTATTTAAAATATCTAAATGAAAGCCGTCAGCTTGTCCTTTATCAGATCCGCCATTTAAATAATTACCCACTGTTAATAATGTCGCTAATAGATTTTTTAATGATAAACTGAAAATATACAAGTTAGGAAGTTAGTTTAAAGGAGCTAAGTCTCTAATATTTGGTTGGGATCTAGGAATAGACACAAATGGGTCGCAACGTATATAATAATGTAATATGAATGTATATAAACTGATTTGCATTCAATCATTTACGTTTTTTACTCTAATCTCAAATCAGTTATATTTGACCAAACACGCCAGAAGTGTCAATCAAATGGCAATCTCTAGCGTCAGGTTATTCCAGTCTACACCGATAGTATTTATTGCGTATGCTCTACAGATACGAATATGAGGTCACCGTTTGACATGACTTGTGGAATATGTCTAGCCTCGTTCTTCGAGTCTCTTGTTAAATATTGGATATCAGAAGATCATCTTTTCCCGGTAAGATCACAACATTAATGTAGTGGACTATGGGATCGTTCCAATTTTCGGGGTTCTTGTACGTGCACGCCAACGAGTACACGGTTGGGCCTCGGTTTTCATCCCATCCGAACGACTGGGCTGAAATCTTTAGACAGGCGAACTAGGCTGCGAAATCGTGATGCATTTTCTCGGTCATCACTGGGATCGAACTCGTGACCTCCTGTTTAGTGAGCCAACAGCATACTCACAAGCCACGGTGGCTCTCGGACTATTAGGACTGACACAATAAATTCTCGGTGATTTGGGTCTATTCTGACCCTGGCACAACAATGTGTGCATTAGTTAGGTAGGAAAAGAACAAACGAAAACACGGTTCGGTCCTTAAAAGATATATTCTCAAAAGATTTATCTCCCTTGGACCATCAATACACTTAAAGGAACCACGCAGAATTTAGTATCAAAACTCGCTAAATAAATAAAAATAAATCAAAATGAAATGGGGTTAAAGTCATACTGTTCTGCCCAGACTGGGCTAATGAAGACTGGGCTAATGAAGACGACATTTTGCCCGGCAACGGCACTTTGGCCTACTCTTATATCGAATTCCAACTGCTAAGGGATATTTTAAGTGCATGCCAATGTATACACAAGACCTCGGTTTTTCGTCCCATCTGAACGACTGGGCAACTGTCCTTGTCAGGCCCTCCTTCCGGCATCACTGACAAGGGGGAAACACGCCGGAAAATCACGATGAACTTTCCCGACCTCCAGGCTAGCGAGCCAGCGTCTTACCTACTTAGCCACCGTGGATCGACAAATAAATAAAAATGTGGAAGGCAGTGTTTTATAGCATAACGAGTAAGCAAAGCATACCCTGCTACGTGCACGACACCGGTAACTACTGAACACAGTCTTACCTGCTACTGATTTCATCACAAGCTGTATGAAGTTCTCGGAGCTGTTGTTCTGAAAAACAAAAGTTAATAAATATTTTATTTGTGTATTTTAAAACACAAAAGATCCAATCTGATTAATACACATTCTATTTCCTTTCGTTTTTACTACACTAGGATCTGGAAGAGTTGTTATATATAACCCGCTATCTGGATGATGTGAGGGATTAGCCAATGAAACGGTCTGTTTTGGACGTGGGGTGCACGGAACTGTGGGTAACCCACTAGAAATATCAAAAGCTGCTCGTGTGACCTCTGACCTGACCTTCCAGTACAAACCGTCAGTTCTTCATGTAGCAGAGGCCATCGAAAGTATAAATAAACGAAACAAAATATTGACCTAAATTTTAACCAGATTATTTGGGTAAAGGACATTGTTAAAGATTATTTATTTCATCGGTCTATGACCACCGCAACCACCCCATCACCACCGCCAACCCATGACCACCGCAACCACACCGACCCACCCCATCCACCTCATCTAAAAGTTTTCCACGATTAAATAGAAATCTGTTTTACTGACCTATTTCAAACAGGTTAATCTGTAATTTCTCTTTAAATCGGAGAAAATCTAATCTTTCTCGAAAATGATCAATCTTTGCTAATTCTGAGATGAGATATTCTGGATAATCCAGTTGACCTGAAAATACAGAACAAACAATAAGCTATTAGTGCAAAGTTTCCCCTCATACCGTACTGGTATGGCGTATGACCGTCTACATTAGTCCAGTCGGTACAGATAAGTAGGATGTTTAACCCCATTTCATTTCATTTCATCAAAGGTGCTGTTGGTTGCGAAATAATAAGTGTTATTTAATACAGAGAGAGAGAGAGAGAAATGAGGTTTAACGTCCACTCGACACAAACTAGGTCATTTTGGGACTAACATACGATCCAATTTTATATTAGTAATTCGCTTGCGCGTAGAGGTTTTTAGCAGTGGGGGAAACTGTGGGACCCTGCAAAACCCACGAGGTTAAACAGGTGACGCTAATCCTTGTCATGATGTACGACCGGGCAATCTAAACCACGCCAGTTGACTCAATGACAGACAACGCGCACGCGCTATTCCATTCGGCCATGATCCACCTCCACCCCCTTTATTTAATACAACTCCTTTTTTATTAATACTTGATTTAAAAATAAGGTAAACATGATTAAAAAGTCACGTTCAATGTCACAAAAATATTTCCTATTCATCATGTCCAGAAATTAGATGAAAATGGCGGACTTACCGGCTCCTTTACGTTTTATATGATGTAATATTTTATCCATGTCACGTGATGAACATATTAAATCAAGTAGTTGAGCAAGACTGGAAAACAGAACAAAATTAGAAAAATTAAAAACAAAAATTTGAACAAATCAAAAAAAAAAAAAAAAATTAGAACAAATTTAAAATAAAATTAGAACAAATTTAAAACAAAGTCAGAACAAATTAAAACAAAAACTAGAATGAATTTAAAACAAAATTTAAAATTAAACACAGTTTACATGCAACGTTCATTCCAGGAAATATAACTAATAGAACGATTGTTTTAAAATAAAACATAATATATATAAAAATATGATTATAACACTGGTCGCGTTAATTTAATACTAGAGATTTACAAATATCAACCATGAAGAACTTAAATTACAGTTGAATTTATTACTCGAGATTAAAAAAATCAACCAAAAATACCAACTGTTATAAGATCGAAAACTTGACAACTGATCGCGTGGATTTTCGCGATCAACTGTGTAGCTGGTAATTTTATATATAGAGATGTATTTACTGGTATCGATCACAATGTGCACTTACAATCGTTAACTTTTATTAGACCATCAACTGTAACTCATGGGCTACATCTTCTATATCGTGTAGCAGATTATAGTATTAATAGAATGCACATAAATCTTACTCTACGCATGCTCCCCAGATGTTGGACAGTCGTAAATGTATAACACAATGTACCCTATACTTTTATTATTAGCTTTAATAGTCCCAATAATCATTGGATCTAATGTGAATACTTTTATTGATATCAACACCCTTTCAATAACCCGTCTTGTTAATCGGGATATTTTTATTGTTATCGACATCGTCCAGTGGTATTTTTACGGTAGTGATTAACGAATCGATTATATATCAAATACAACATGGATTTTTGTTACCTTTCTTGGCTGAATTCCTTGGTGTCAAGTTGGGACACAGATTGTATCAGATCGTTTAACGTACAGCGTATATTGCGCATTTCGACAATTATTCTTTGCGCTTTCTCGTTATCAAAAATATTAACTAACTGAAATAGAAAATAGAATTGCGCAAATTAATGATACCATATAATAATGCGTGATTTTAACTGTGGTCGTATTTAGATTAAGTTGGTTATTGCTGTGAAATAGCAAAATAACAAATGTAAGAAGTGACACAGGGTGTTCTAGAAATGGCAAGAATATCCTTTCATGTAAACCATACCAGATTGCTAAAAGGAGAGAATGAATGAAATGGAGTTTAACGTCCTACTGTTCTGCTCCTAACCTGGGCTAATGAAGACGGGCATACGCCATACAGTGTGCTATGAGGGAAATTTTGCCCGGACAGCGGCACTACGGCCTACTCTTATATCGAATTCCATCTGTCAAGGGATCTTTTACTTGCACGCCAATGTGTACACAGGACCTCGGTTTTTCGTCCCATCCGAACGACTAGACTCCACACAAACTAGATCATATTGGGACTAACATACGGTTCCATTTTAATTTCAATAATTCGCTTGCGCGTAGGGGTCTTTAGCAGTGGGAGGAACCCGGAGGATCCGGAGAAAACCCACGAGGTTGGACAGGCGACCCTACTCCTTGTCACACACAAGCGGGGAATCGACACCACGTCACTTGACTCAATGGCAGACCTCATGATGCAACGCGCACACTTTACCCCCCCCCCCCCCCATCCACACTTGAGAAAAGTGTCAGCGCGGCCTGTTTTTTTGTCCGATACGACGGACTAATTGTTATTATCATTTCAACACCGCATTACGCTACTTGCATAAAGTTGAATACATAACACAATAAGTGAATATCAAACGGATATTATAATCAATTATTTTACATAATAGATATTGAATAGTGAATATCATAACCAGATGTCTACACATAAACTAGATCTAAACTTGTATACTACAGTCTATATAGCTTATAACAATAATCAATAAAAATACCTGTTGTTTAGGTCTACCACGTCGTACATAAATATCGTCAAATAAAGAAATATCATCCAGTGATTCTTTGGCAGCACAAAATAACCTGGAACAACATAGATAAAAATAGCCAATGTTCAATTATTTATTGATTGGTTTTAAAATGGTTTCCAATGTTGTTATATAGTGTTGGAGGAGGATAGCTTTGATGTTTGTGACATACAATTACATATTACACGGTTCATATCACCAATAACTTAATAAAAAGTATATGAATGCAACATGCATTATATCTTATTTTATTATATTCATCATCTAAAAACCGCTGACATTTTAAACAACGTCTCCTTTCATATCGTGCGAATCTAATACAACGTATATGAATGTATTTAAGAACGTAATATATATTTTTTAAAAATTATGTACATCATTTAAAAACCGCTGACATTTCAAACAACGTCTCCTTTCATATCATGCGAATCTAATACATTTTTATTAATTATGTGCACCTTTTAAAAAAGATCTGACATATTACGCAACGTCTTCTTACTAGTTTGTATTCTCAAAATGGCAAAATATGGCTGACCTACAGAACACTGTCAAAGTAATAATCTATTAGATCTATTAATAGGGTTTAATATAGGCTATGCCTGTCCCCCAATCCCTATTCAGATACAAATAGGAATAAAAATATTGTTTATAAAACAAAAATTAAAGAATTAAGGCAAGAAAATAAAATGATTTTAATATGTAGTATGACTACAATTTACTAAAATGCATGTGCAATTGCTGGAAGTGCCATTAGTACTGACGGTGGTATCATGCTCCAATACTGCTATCTTTGTTTTACCGTTAATATCCATGAGTTTGATCCTGACATTTATTTAATCACGTCTATATATACAGATGTCTTTTCTACGATCTCTGGGCAGTTGTAAATTCAAATAAGAGAGGGTTGTAGTTGTAGAGTCGCTGTCCGGGCAAAATGTCCCTCCTTGCATGGTGTGTGTCCTTCTATATTATTCTGGTTGGAGCAGAAAAATAGGACGTCGTTAAACCTATTTCATTACAAATTTAAGAGAGAGAGAGAGAAAGAGAGAGAGAGAGAGAGAGAGAGAGAGAGAGAAAGATAGAGATAGATAGAGAGAGAGAGTGAGAGAGAGGGAAAGAGAAAGAGAAAGAGAAAGAGAGAGAGAACAAATGGAGTTTAACGTCCATCCAACACAAGCTAGGTCATTTCGGGAGTAACATATGGTTCAATTTTATTTCAATAATTCGCTTGCACGTATAGGGGTCTTTAGCAGTGGGAGGAAACCGGAGGACCCGGCGAAAACCCACGAGGTTGGCCAGGCGACCCTACTCCTTGTCACGTACAACCGGGGAATAGAAACCACGCCTGTTGACTCAATGACAAGCCTTATGATACAACGTCCACGCGATAACCATTCGGTCATCCAACCCCTCACAAATCTAATAATGAAATCAAACACTCACTTTTCTAATTCTTCACCGTCTATCTTGGGTTCCATTATACCATGCCAGACAGAAGCGGGGCCATGTTCAGTCTCTGGAATAATCATCATAAACAACACTACTTTTAAATCAGTCAATTCACAAATATCACACAATTTGATCAAATGCTTAGATGTAAAATATTGAACACGTTGATACAGCTGATGTAGCCAAGAACATTAAACCGTATGTTATGCTTGTATATCCATCCATTGTAGAAGTTCACGCTACCAATCCAGTCATTATTTTATAATGAGTGAAATGATTTACTGTTATTACTTGAACAGCCTACACAAGTCTAGCATCAGATCTATATCGTCCCAGCTCAATAATCTAACAACTCACTGTTATATATAACATTCCAACTTACTGAGTCAAAACGAGTTGTCGTTCCTTAGATTATCGACTAAATGATAAGGCCAGCTCAATTTTTCGTCATTGGTCACAAGATGTAAACAGGGCTAACGTTAATCCCAATCCTAACCCTAACTCTAGGCCTAGCCCCAATGCTTACCCTAACGCCAACAACCACGCGTCATAACCTTATTTACATCTCGACGATCTTGACTAGGAACCTTCCGTCTTATTTCACCTTCACCTTAATTACACCTTTGATCTAGGCCGCCATACTTATCAATAAACGCAGGGAATAAGACCCACATGTGTCTATTATTCCAATAGATAAAGATTAACCGCCATAATAAATAGTACCGCTATCCTGATTAAAACCCATTGTTCACATCATTAAAGACAATAGTTTAATGAACATACATACAGGTAATTAGTAAATCCTTTGAAATCCTATCATCTTCAACACAAGACAAACGAAAAAAGAAGGAGCAGTTCTGTTTGTAGTGATTTTCTCTGCTAAATTAATATCGATTTTTATACTGGGTTCGTCACTAACGTAACCAAGTGTTTCATAGAATAGATTTTTTAACACACACGTGTAAAGGTGAACTATTTTAATAGTGTACGTTGATAATTGGTCACAACAAAGGCCCGACCTAGTAAATACTTAGAAACAATTCATAATATGATTCATATTAAATGATTACTATTCACAGTCATTAGTAAAACATTTGACTTCCAGCCATTACTAATATTATAATACGTCATAATCATAAAATCTTCCCCTTGGTACTTAAAATATCCACAATGTTTTATTTTTGTATATTTTGAATTTCTTCTCTAAGTATTAAAATAAGTAGCCTATAAGACTCAGTGTGTCTCGCGAACTAGATTTTAAATACCCGTACGCAACAGAAGTATAATGAATAAGAAATGAGTATACGATCGTTCCGTCAAAAAGAACCAATTATGAAATGATGATTGTGAAATAAATTTGAACTAAATCTGGCGAAAAAATGTAATGTAATCATAACAAATTATAACAGTTTGCCAGATATTTATCTAGGAACACCAAATATAACTTTTGCAAAATATTTATTTAATTGAATGTTAAGCCCCCGTCAAAAAAACCTCTAATATTTATCTAATTGAACACAATATTTTAATTTGGGATAAACAACTATCCAAAGGTCTGCCCTTTCAAAAACACCAAATACAACTTATCATTTAATTGAGAATTTCATAAACCTAAAATTTATATTGTTCATTCTTAACCATATCACCTAGAATGCGACGTTAAGAACAGTGCTAATTTAAACAACCAAAATCGTAATTAAATCAAATTATTAACACAATATCAAGGTACAATTTTATGGATACACAATTACTGAGTTTAATACTAAGCGACGTTTCAACGAGGATACTCTCATCTTTATCAAGTAAATGATAAAGACGAGATTATCCTCGTCTAAACTCAGTAATTGTGTATCCATAAAATTATACCTCGTGTTAATATGTTCAATTACTAAATGCCAATCAAAGAAGAAACCAAATTATCAATAAAAATTCGTTATTTAAAAAAAGCTCTAATCTATGTGTATATAAATTACTTACTGGGAACATTATTCCTGTTATTCCTAATAAAACCAAAATCGCAATTGAATCCAATGATCAATAAAAAATTCGTTATTTAAAAAAGCTCTAATCTATGAGTATATAAAGTACTTACTGGAAACATTCCTGTTATTTCCTATGTATATTATTTAAAGACAAGGTTAATATAGACAAGTGTATATTTAATCACTAGCTAGTATATTATATTGTATTAAATCTTGACTTAGTAAAGTAAGTATCTACACGTATGTTCTTTAGATTATATCACACACTTATATAAACTCTCTGGTTATAAAACACGCTGTAATGAGAGGATTTAATGTTTAAAATTTGCAAATTTCTTTTTAAAGAGAGAGAGAGAAATAAGGTTTAACGTCCACTCGACACAACTAGGTCATTTCGGGACTAACATATGGTTTAATTTTATTTCGATAATTCGCTTGCGCGTAGGGGTCTTTAGCAGAGGGAGGAAACAGGAGGACCCGGAGAAAACCCACGAGGTTGGACAGGCGACCCGACTCCTTGTCACGTACAACCGGGGATTCGAAACCACGCCAGTTGACTCAATGACAGACTTTATGATACAGCGCACACGTGCTAACCATTCAGCCATCCAACCCCCCAAATGTCCCTTTAAACACCCGGGTTGTGTAGAAATGATATAATCTTAATGCAACGGTTATACATTTAAATTCAAATATGTATCCATTTTAAAAAAATATACTTATATGTATGGGGGGTTGGGTGGTCGAATGATTGGCGAGTGCGCGCTGCATCATAAGATCTGTCATTGAGTCAACTTGCGTGGTTTCGAATCCCCGGTTGTACGTGACAAGGAGTAGGGTCGCCTGTCAAACCTCGTAGGTTTTCTCCGGGTCCGAGAGAGAGAGAGAGAGACGGGAAGGGAGGGAGAGAGAGAGAGAGACAGAGAGAAATGGGGCTTAACGTCCACTCGACACAAACTAGGTCATTTCGGAACTAACATATCGTTCAATTTTATTTCAATAATTCGCTTGTGCGTAGGGGTCTTTAGCAGTGGGAGGAAACCGTGGGACCCAGAGAAAACCCACGAGGTTGGACAGGTGCCCTTACTCCTTGTCACATACAGTTATCAGGAGAATCGTTATTAATTTATGCCCTGTTTCGAAAACTTGACCAAAGTTACACGTTTAACATAAATGTAGTGCTAAACCGAAAACTTTAACATGAACATCATCACTAGATTGTCACCACTGTATAACCAAATGACATATACATCTTAATGCGTTGACACTTGATGACTTGGATAGGATTTACGATCAGTTAACAATCCACTCTAGGTGACGTAAAACTTTGAATATTTACCATGAAAGTTTAGAGTTTAATTAACGCCGGCCTGGGGTGTGAAAACTTCGTATTAACATGTGACTGTTACTGGTCATTAAGTGGTCACTCGTGTGTTTAATTGGTCACAATAAAACAAATACAGCCAGTTTACATTCTGCTGATGTCACGTGATCATCAAAGGGCGGATTAATCTGTAATTATCCCGGTCTTGTTATCACCTTACACCAAAGAACGTGACGTGGGGAAATAGTTGTCTAATTCTCATGTCGGCGTGAAAAGAATTAAACTGTTCGCATCTCTTATCGTAGGACTTTTATATCTAGATATCGATAGAGAAAGAGAGGAGAGAGGGGGGGGGGGATAACGTCCACTCGACACAAACTGGGTCATTTCGGAACTAACATATAGTTTAATTTTATTTCAATAATTCGCTTCCGCGTAGGGGTCTTTAGCAATGGGAAGAAACCAGAGGACCCGGAGAAAACCCATACGGATAGACAGGCGACTCTACTCCTTGTCACGTACAACCGGGGAATCAAACCACAATGACAGACCTTATGATACAAAGTGCACGCGCTAACCATTCGGCCATCTCGTTTCAAAACTAAAATAATTTGAAAAAAAACTACATTAAAAAACAATGACCAAACTACCACCATGCATTATCATCCATCAAATATGGCGACCGTAAGCCGTCTCTGTAAAATGTAGCTGACCACCCCTTAAGTAGATATCAAACATATACTAGTCAGTCAATATTGCAATCTCGATCCCAGATAAAACTTTACCCCTCGTGTATCTGGTAAAACTCGCCGGCCATTAATCAGCGTGAATTCGGTTGTTTAGCTCCGCCCCCGTAGCCACTGATTGACAGGATTTGTTAGAATGAAATGCTGCCGATTTCAAAATGGCCGGCGAGTTTTATGAGCGATAAACGAAGGGCAAACTTATCTCTGGGAACGAGATTGTCATGGTATGCGATTTCTGATTTCACTTCGGAGGAAAGTGAAATGAAATGAAATGGGGTTTAACAAGTCCTACTGTTCTGCTCCTTAACTGGGCTAATGAAGACGGGCATACGCCATACAGTGTGCTATGAGGGAAATTTTGCCCGGACAGCGGCACTACAGCCTACTCTTATATCGAATTCCAACTGCCAAGGGATCTTTTACGTGCACGCCAATGTGTACACGGGACCTCCGTTTTTTGTCCCATCCGAATCACCTCGGAGGAAGCGGACGTTAAATCAACATATTTCACACACACCTCCTACCACCATTCTCCACTCTAAACATTAAAAATCCTTCGTTTAACAGAAATATGAAAATAATTTCTTCGTTAAACTGTCGTGACTATTAATACAACGTGCCGGTTATAGTAACAAACATAAAAGTAACAGATATAAGTGACATAAGTAAAAATAAAGAAACATTATCCAGACTTACCGTCTGCTACTATAATTCTGGTCCATTGTAAAGTTTTCATGGGAACACCTGTATGTATGATGGGTTTATTAGGATAAACCTTGTTGCCTCGTGATGGACGAGGGGGGAGGGGAGGGGGTGCATCCTCCCCATTCAGTAAAGCTGCTTGTTTTCTTTCTTCCTCTAATTTACTACCTGAAACACACAGAAGTTGTAATGAAATATAGCCGACAATCCCTACACGGAACAACCCAATAGCTTGTAAGGTTCTAGACTCTTGTTTTCTAAGAGCGAAAGTATTTTTTCTAGGAATTAAACTATACCGACTGTGCCAAAAGAGAGCGAGAGAGAGAGAGAGAGTGAGAGAGAGAAAGAGAGAGAGAGAAATGGGGTTTAACGTCCACTCGACACAAACTAGGTCATCTCGGGACTAACATATGGTTCAATTTTATTTCAATAAATCGCTTGCGCGTAGGGGTCTTTAGCAGTAGGAGCAATCCGGGAGAGGTTGGACAGGCAACCCTACTCCTTATCACGTACAACCGGGGAATCGAAACCATGCCAGTTGACTCAATGACAACCCTTATGATACAGTACGCACGTGTTAACCATTCGACCACGAGGTTGGACAGGCGACCATACTCCATGTCACGTACAACCGGGGAATCGAAACCAAGCCAGTTGACTCAATGACAGACCTTATGATACAGCCATTAACATACCCAAAATACCCTAGTTAATATGGATTGGATAATAATAACACGACCATAATGACATCATTGTTATACTGGTACCGTTTGTATTCGTCAGCAGATGAAAGGCTAATCACAAACACCACGCCCACAGATATTTTCACAGCCAATACAAACAGCTTACCTTTCGCTGTATTACACATGCGCGTCTAATATTAATTAAGGCAGATAATCGCTTGCATGTCAAACATGTCTGTTGAAAAGTACAATCTTTCCAGCAATAAAAAAAACCCTCAAAAAATGTATTCCTGCAGAAAATCGCTCACATACCAAATATATCCGTAGCAAAGTACAATTTTTCGAGTAATAAAAAAAAACCTGAGAAAATGTATTCCCGTAGAAAATCGCTCACATGCCAAATATATCCGTAGCAAAGTGCAATCTTTCGAGCAATAAAAAAAAAACAAAACTCAAAAATGTATTCCCGTAGATAATCGCTCACATGCCCAATATATCCGCAGCAAAATACAATCTTTCGAGCAATAAAAAAACCTAATAAATGTATTCCCGTAGAAAATCGCTTACATGCCAAATATATCCGTAGCCAAGTGCAATATTTCGAGTAATAAAAAAAACCTCCAAAAATGTATCCCCGTAGATAATCGTTTGTCTGCGATATCACCTCGGTGGAAGCGGACGTAAAATACAACTAACTCACACATAGATAATCGCTCACATGCCAAATTTATCCGCAGCAAAGTACAATCTGTCCAGCACTAAGAAGCATGGAAGTGTTCTAATTCTAGAATAATACTAGCTTTGTTATCTCAGTAACTTTACCTATCCTTTATATATATATATATATATATATATATATATATATATATATATATATATCATTTACATATCCTAAATAGTTTTTATGTAAATTATACCTTATAGCTTGAGCAAAAAACCAAGAAAAAACCCGACAATTTACCTGTAGACAACCCCAGAAAGACAACTTATAAAGAATTTAAGATATATATCGGATAATTTTAAAAGATAACAATTTACCTGGTGGCTGTTTTACCTGTCTGGCCTAAATTCCCCACGTGTTTCACCCCGGGAATTTAATGAGACTTATAATAGACATGAAGCTGTTTTGCATATCGTGTGTTTTTAAAGGTCGTCATTCAAGAGTTTTTATTCTTCAAGCATTTGTTTAATACTCGTAAAACTAGCGAGTGTGGTACAATTTAATGGCCCATTGAAACGAGGGGAAGAACATGAATTAAACTATTTTATGTCTTAGTTAACACCATGGTAACAATTTTTGTGACACGGTAGAGCTATTATATCTCACCAATCTTGATGTAATCGGTGCCAAACTTCCGCCTAGATAATCGGCAGATTCTTACAATTATCAGACTTTAAACCCCTTTCATTCAACGAGTTGGTGATTTACTTCAACGATCCTGATTCAATACGGACATTGCACAGACCGTTTCACGCACGTGTGATTTATATTTGACATTATGACATTAATTAAAACTACCGATCGTCGTTTTGGGAATTTCCCATCCATGCGCGAGAGAGAGAGAGAGAGAGAGAGAGAGAGAGAGAGAGTTTAACGTCCACGCGACGTAAACCAGGTCATTTAGGGACTAACATATGGTTCAATTTTATTTCATTAATTCGCTTGCGCGTAGGGGTCTTTAACAGTGGGAAGAAACCGTTGAACCCGAAGAAAACCCACGTGATCCTACTCCTTGTCACGTACAACCGGGAAATCGACACCACGACACAGTTGACTCAATGATAGACCTTATGGTCCAACCCCAGCTTCTATCCGTTGCAAATGTCAATATTGCGAAAGTGAATCTCTAAAGGGAATATAAACGAGTGCACGATATAAACAAGAAAGCGCCACGTGCAAAATGTCGGGTAAAATATTTTCATGGACCTCTGTTTAATCCAAGCCGGGAGATTATCCACTACTGGAAATATTAAATAATCACATTGGGTATATTTTGGAGTGGATTTAGACGAGAAAATGTTTATATTTTCCGAAAAACGCAAATGACATACAATTGCAGTTGCTTTAATTTCGTTTCTTTAATGGAACATTACAAAACTGGGTCAAAATTAAACTACCATATCACAATCCTCATATCACAATCCGATAAAATATATTTCGTTTCGTTTTTTTTATACTTTCGATGGCCTCTACTACATGAAGATCTGACCGGTTGTAGCGATAGGTCGCGTCAGGGGTCACACGAGTGGCCTTTGACCCAAAGTTCCGTGCACTTCACGCCAAAAACTGGCCGTAACATTGGCTAATCCCTCACATCATCCAGAAGGCAGGTTATATAACAACTCTTCCAGATCCTAGTGTTGTACAGACAAGTAAAACCAAATTTTGAACTATAAAATATGAAACGAAATAAGATCTGTGTTTGAATCAGATTGCACATATCTCAGACACACTTATATGTAAATTCATTTAATTTTGACCCCGATTTCACCCAATAAAGGGAGATTGGTTTTAATGAAAAATGCTTACCTATAATGCTTAAGAGATTGGCTTTATTTGGAAGAACACCATACGGGGAAGACTTAGTACTGGAGTTTTCTAACATCTCGGCAATGCTTCTTAATTCATGCATCTTTGCCATGAGTTTATTAATTCTCTCTTCGTATGTTTTTAAGATATGTTGATGTTCCTTTTTCATGCGTTTCATTTCTTCTATTAATTGTTTTTCGTTGTCCGAATAAGAATAAATTGTCTCTCCCCATCTTCGGTTATTTTCGCTACTTTCCGCCGTCACAACCGAAGACGTCTGACTGTTCATGGTGCCCGTCACGTTTCCCGCCATATTAAACTCCATAGGCGCCAGTTCCTTACGATCGTTACTATCCATCAGTTTTTCTCCGGATAAAACAACGCGATTCCTGGAATTCGACATGGCGTTACCGATTATATATTTAGATGTAAGTTTCTCCCGTTGGCTCGGAGATATCCTAGGCTCAACAACAGGGTAGGTTGGAAGCGAACTATAATTTTTCGGATTTACACTTGGCGGATTTTTAATACTGTCCTGTTCACTACCACGCAAATAATCCCTTTGAACTTCTTGAATAAAATTATTAAATGGCTTCACTAAATTAATCTGTTCGCCTCTATTAAGTATTTTATTTTTAGCATCATCAATGACTTTCTGGTCGTAACGAGATTCCTTTATTCCAGTGCTCACGTGATTCACAGTTTTATTTGACGTCATATTAGTTCGCTGTAGATCGTTAATGACGTCATCATTCCACATGTACAAATGGGCAGAGTCTTCGAATGAATTGGCTCCAAAAATACTTTTAATTTGACCCTCACGGAACAGTTTTTTGGCAAATTTAACGGCAACTGCTCGACTTTTAAATCGGTTGGAATGTTGATCTAATAAAGTCGACACTAAAAATGAACCTTTAAAAACGTTTCTATTGCGTCCAGGTCGTGGTTGGCGCCACTCCATCTGAAAAGATAAAAAAAGGTCAATTAATTTACATGTTTAATTAAAAAAAGCTACGAAATCAGGTATGGTTAGCTGGTGTGTTAACATCGTGCCGATTTCTTCTCTGATTGACATTTAGTAATTACAAATGTAAACATATTAACATAAGGTACAATTTTATGGATACACAATTACTGAGTTTAAAACTAAGCGACGTTTCGACGAGGATAATCTCATCTTTATCAAGCGAATGATACAGGTATGTGAATAGTAGGCAAATATATACAGAATACGAAACAAAAATAACATGTTTTTAATTGTATTTGATGGTTATTTTTGTTGTATATTCTGTACATATTTGCCTACTATTCACATATCCTACCGATTGCCTCAAGTTTTGAAGCATCTTTTAAAAGAAGAGCCTAAATCTTGGCTGGCTCTCGTCAATAACAACATCAAGCCCCATTTAACAGTATTGTAGATATAAAGTGTATATGTCCTCTACCTATATCCAAGTTCGTATCTATTACCATTTTAAATTTAAATGGAAAACACGTTAGACATTTACGAGCTAAGGTTGAAAATAGTGAATGGGTTATTTTCTAGTTTAACCAATAAGCGTCCTCTCCAGTTTAGTCTACTCAAACAAAAAACCTATTTAGTGTACATATATTTTTAAATATTGAAAACTAACACCTGCTTCTTAGAATATATGAGCCCCTTTGATCCTCGCAAAGAATGTATGGGTCATGTTGTGTAATATTATGATAGTGGTTCCCCTGTACTTATTGCACGGTAGGGGACAACAGCCGTTTTGTTATTAGCTGCTTTTCGCCTATGAAACAACAATTTGTGTGTCAGAGAGAGAGATAGCGAGAGAGAGAGGGAGAGAGAGAGACAGGGGGTTTAACGTCCACTCGACACAAACCAGGTCATTTCGGGACTAACACATAGTTCAACTTTATTTCAATAATTCGCTTGTGCGTAGGGGTCTTTAGCAGTGGGAGGAAACCGGAGGACCCGGAGAAAACTCACGAGGTTGGACAGGCGATCCTACAACCGGGGATTCGAAACCACGCCAGTTGACTCAATAACAGGCCTTATGATACAGAGCGCAAGTGCTAAACCATTCGGCCATCCAACCCCTCAACAAGCTATGAAGTGTTAGAGGGGGTGATATGTCTGTTGATATTGTTTAAGCTCGAGTTGTACAACACATAAGACACTCTAGTCTAGGTTCATAGCAACACAGCCAAGTAATCAACACACAAAGGATGCTACCGGGTCAACAAGAAACTATCTTGTATTTGCCGGATATAAGTGATTAATCGCCCCGGGGCACGTGATAACGACGATAAGCTGTCACGCCTACTGAATTAAGACTTGACCGCGGAATTTGGAACCGGGAATGTTTACCTCGGAAGGGCGGACATTGTTTGACGTTTTCATCTAGATTAATTGGAAAGTTGTTGAAGCTGAACAGTCGATTGACGATGATTTGAGAATTTCTATTTCAAATCATGACATTGATTGTTTTTATATCCATGGAATATAATTAAAATAATTGTATGTGGGCTTATCGCTGACATGATCACGATGTTCAGTTTAATAGGTGCTCGGTATGATCCGTGTACGAGTTCACTTTTATAGATCTACTAGACTCATACAAGCTTCAGTATCATTTAAATCAGCTATTTAAAATCCATATCTCAACTCTATACATCTCATTCATAAGTTTGTTAATTTTCTCTTCAAATTGTCTTTTCAATTGTTTGTTGATTTTCTGTCCCGATTGTTTGTTAATTTCTCTTCATAAATTCTCTATTTAAACGTTTGTTAATTTTCTCTGAAAATGTTTGTTAATTTCTCTTCAATTGTTTGTTAATTTACTCTTCATAACTTTGAAAATTTTCTCTTCATAAATTTTCTCTGGAAAAGTTTGTTAATTTTCTCTGAAAAAGTTTGTTATTTTCTCTGAAAAAGTTTTGTTAATTCTCGCATCAATTGTTTGTTAATTCTCCCTTCCTAAGTTTTTAAGATATGTTGATGTTCCTTGTTCATGGGTTTTATTTCTTCTATTAATTGTTTTTCGTTGTCCGAATATAAATAAGTTGTCTCTACTTATTATCGGGTATTGTCGCTACTTTCAGGTTTTCTTTTTGTATAGTCGTCTTTAAACAAAATCCACGCTTTTTTCACTAAATATTTATTGTCATAAATTTCAGAAATTAGATTTAAGGAAGGAACGGATAAAAATAGTAAACTCTTGCAAAACCGGCAAGCTTAGCGTTATTCACATACGTTTTCCAAATAAATCAAAACTACTGTCGTATAAAAACTTTTCAGTTTTCAAAATAAAACCTTAGGCAACAGTTTCTCACATTAACCAAGTCCATTGAAGAATATGTCCCGCCAAACTAGAACGGTACGTTACACTAATCACGTATGTTAGAGTACTTAATATTCCAAACAGAACTTAACACTATTACCAGTAGTTAATATATGTCAGCTGATATCACAAATAGCTGACATGACATGTCATTATATGGCAGTAATGACAGTGATATATCATAGTGACAATGTTATAAGATAATATATATGACAGGGACAAGCACCTGTGTGACTACTGTTGTGAATATAATCAAAAGCCACGACCTTACTTTGGTAAATGACATCAAAGCGAACAAATCTATATTATGTAAGGTGAAATTTATTTTGATATGAATAACTCCATAACACAACATAAAGGAAAAATAACACTTTGTAGCAATCCATAATAGAGTGGTGCACTTTGCTTTGATCTGAACTTTTTGTATTATTATGATAACATTAGTAATGTTTCATATTTCTGTGGGTGGCTGGGGGTGTTTAGCAGTGGGAGGAACCAGAGGACCTAGAGAAAACTAACGAGGTTGGACAGGTCACGCTACTCCTTGTCACGTACAATCGGGCATCCGACCCCACACTCAATGACAGACCTTATGATCTAAAGCGCACCCGTTAAACCATTCGGTCACCCAACTCCCCTGAAACGGATCGCTAATGGATATCTAAACAAATGATACACTTGTGTATAAGAACATATTGTGTATAAAATGTGTTTTTGTATAAAACCTAATTAGGTATTTAAAATAAGTCATTAACAGAGTGTAAATAAAATCTAAATGTAAATTAAAACTAATTGTGTATTTAAAATGACAGTTTAATTAAACAAAGTGTGTATACATTCTGAATGTTTATTATTAAATAAAGTTGATTATTTAAGCTAATAGAGTAATTAAACTAATTGTATATGTCTCTAATTGTTTGTAACAACTGTAATTAAGATACATTGTGTATGTCTCTAATTGATATATAAAACTGAGTAGTAGTAGTGGTCTGCGATATCACCTCGGTGCAAGCGGACGTAAAATACAACTAACTAACAACAACTAGTGGTCGCACCTAAACACTAAACCCACAACGATGACATCTACCAATCCAGAAACGAGAGAGAACAACTATCAAACAATATGTTTCTTATTAAATAAAGGGAAGAACTTCCCACTAAACCCAATCCATGGCCTAAGGCCTAAAATGGAAAGATTGCAAAATCATATTCTAAAATGAGGAAGCAGCTTCGGCTCTCCTATGTCTTGTCTGCGATATCACTTCTGTGAAAGCAGACGTTAAAGCACCAAGTTACTACTACTGGTAGTGGTAGTAGTAGTAGTAGTAGCATGACCCGCCTTCTCTTCTCACGACAGCGATATTCAAACTGTGTTTTAAAGTGACTTTTTGAGTTACAAGGACTTTTGTGTTTTTACCAATTTTCAACCATTGAATTATAATTAAATCAACCCGTCCATAAAATCATATTTATTGTATTGGACGTTAAATCTTTAATAAACAACAACAACAGCAGTAGTAGCCGTAGAAAGTACGATATTACCCTAGTGAAACGGTGTATTTCTACTGATAATATTACAAGTTGACAAACCAGAGACTATTATCTGATGTTAAACAATTTCTGCGACATTACATGATTTTCAGACGATTTCCAAAAATCGTTTAGATGAATCATTGCATGTCTCGAACTCCTCTCCCAATTTGAAAACCTTTTACACCAAATAGCATATTTGGAGCTCATTACCATAAATATCGAGATATCGAGATATAAAGTACTTACAGTGACGTCCGCAGTGTTCCTAATCACATATCCAACAGCGATGGTATACATTTAGGCACTTTAACAAACTATAAAACTAGCCATTATCTTAATTCAATCTATAATATTACCTTCTCTCTGTATGCCTACAATACTGAACTTAACACGAGTATCACTTTCGTTTATAAACCAACCCTTTTGTTTATAAGACTTTTCACTGTTTAACCAAGGAGGTTAATTTTCTCTTTGTAAAAAAACATCTCCAAGCATTTTTATCTTGGGTTATAACTTAAGGACAACTATTGTCTTTGTTGTTTGTGAAATTTGGGGTTGACTTTAGGATCAGGCAGCGCTTTAAGCTGTATTTGACATATTGATATTCAATTAGTTAGTGTCTTTTAACATCGACATGGCCATGGGTCGAAACAACAGACAAACGGTCTTGAACTAAATAACTCATCATTCGCTACTCTTCGTGAAATATTCAGACAAGAGATAATTCGCTTGTCTGTCAATCAAAAAATGCAAATCAGTTAAACCGTCTAAGCAAGATGATAAATTATCCCAATTTGCATATTCAAATACAATTAAATGAATAATAATTAGAATGATTTATACACCTTATGTTGTATTCCGATTTAGGATTAGGACAGCTAAATATTCGAATATTCGACATATCAATTAGGGGTGTATTATGGAGAAAGTGAGAGAGAGAGAGAGAGAGAGAGAGAGAGGGGGGGAGTTTAACGTCCACTCGACACAAACTGGGTCATCTCCGGACTGACATATGATTCAATTTTATTTCAATAATTCGCTTCCGCGTAGATGGATTATGAAAGAGCTAAATTTTCCTATTGCAGTTCATTTTTCTTGG